TGCTATTCGAGAGTAACTATACGCCCAAAGCCTCTATTCTATTCACGTACGTACGAAGAGAGAGGCTACAAACCAATCGAATCAAAATGCGAAACGTATACAACGGAGTAAAGTGCGAGCGAAAATGAGGAGGCGAGGTGGCGATGGATGAGGCTGGGAGGGTGGTAGATGGCGGCGAAACGCGGGGCACTAGGGGGAGAGGTATATGCCATCGTCGATTCGATGGGATCGTTAAAATTAACGAGCGTATTCCAAGCTCCTCGAAAATGTCGCGAGCTTCTATTTTTCTCGCGCCTCGACCGACGCGATTTTCCAACGGCGGGAACGCGTTTCCGAAACCGTGCATCGCTCTCCCCGAGTCGAAACTGTGAAAAATGGCAAACGCGTCATGAAGAAGAAAATAGAAAATAAATGACGCGGAAGAAGATGCTCGAGTTCGCCTTTAAATCTTATCGATCGCCACCTTTCGTTCATTGAAAGATTAAACAACGAACACACTCTTAACTCCTATACTTTTATCATCCATCGATGCACGACGTATAGGAAGTCGAAAGGCACGATTTACAATGGCAATAATCGTTAAAAGATGTTTGCAATGCGTAAGGGCAGGTCGTTCGGCTCGCGACAACGAGCCACGCGGAATCTAGACACGCGAGACGAGTGTCGCGATATCGACGAAACTATCTGTCGGGAATAACGATAATGCGACGGGGGTTATTACACTCTCGGGACCGATCTGGAACGCCCTTTCGCGTGGCCAACTGATTTTTATCGGCACGCACGTTACACCGCCAATTTCTTCTAATACTTATCGCCGCTAAGAGGGTGAAACGGTGAATAGGGCATACTCTCGAAAACCTAACGACCTCCACAGACGCGGCTACCATACGGAGTGCAGGGTGAATTAAGGTTCTACGTAGAAAATTACATCTACGTATGTCTATGTTAACGTGTTGAGTTGCATCACGGTTGAGTTTAGATTTTTCTGCATTTTCAATTCTTCCGTTATTTAAGGCATAAAGGAAAATCGTATGGAAATTCGAAGCGGTTAGAGGGCGAATGAAAGGCTGGCTGGTCCGATTGAACAGGAAACGTTAGTTTCGACGATGTTTCGCTTCGAGAGCTAAAAGCATTCCTCCTCCTCGAGGGTCGAAACTCTCTTACTCTCTCTCACACTCTCTCTCTCTCGGTGTATGTAGGTTAAAATCTGTTGATATACAGCGCGCACGTGGACTTCCTTTTCGACCGGGCCACGTAAGCCCGGCTTCCTGTTCTTTTTTCACCACGACCCCCCTACCCCCACTCCCCATCCGCGGTACCGTTGAAACGACGAAAACCAAATGGTGGGGTTAATGTGCCTGCACACCACGGGATGTCTACCAATTTCCGGGTTCGACTAATGCACTTATCAGACAGCCAGAAAGGAGAGAAAGGAGCCGCTAGAAGGGGAAATAATTGAGACGCGGTGGCTCGTCGGAATCGAGGCGAGCGGGCTCGCCGGGAAAACTCCGTGTAAAGCGGAACGAATCATAAAGGCGTAGAGAAATTAATGAGAGAGGCGAGTTCGGAAAGGGAAGTGAATCGAGCGAAAAATTATCTTCGTCGGAAAGACGAGACGTTACGACCGATGGAAAGGGTGTAAAACGACGTGGTGTAATAATAAGTTACGTCGTAATTATTCGATTCTCGAAATTAACGAATAGTCCTTCGCTTCGTTCATTTGTTTTTCCTTTTTTCCAATGCGTCTTATATTCCTGTTCAATTGCATTAAATTCCATTGCAACAACCGATGAAGTATTTAAACAACGTTCGTCACGCAAGAAACAAAGTTAGAGGCATTTATTAATTCCCCTCGTGATATTTAAACAACAACCGTTCGAAACTTGCTCCCATATTCTCGTCATCCGGAATACTAAACGAAAAAAAATGTTTCGAGAGAAGTCGGGAGGGTGAAAGATTGAATTTATTCGACGAGTTTCTTGGTCGTTTCACTCTCAATTATGCACCGTCTAATTTTGGGGCCGATGCGTGAACCGTAGGCCCTCGATACAATTTCACCGTCGCCCGCAATGCACAACTTCCTGCAATTTTTCTTCTCTAGCCAACAGAAACGAGCAATTAAGAATCTTAATCAGGGATACACGCGGTCTAAGGGATGTCTTTCGACCGCTCGCTGCGTACCCTAATCCAATAAGGAAACGCCTCGCGAGAATTACCAACGAATCTACAAAATCTTGTCGTCGTAATTGGAAAGTATCCAGTGGCGATGACACCCTTAAACGCATTCATGGATCTCGCCGCGTTTACTTAAAAGGGGCATCCGAAATGAAGCGACTCTGTTCGTTTCCTTTTTCTTTCCCTTCCAGACGCTCCGCGACGACCTTTGAGTTGTTTCTGTACCTTCGTCAAAGAATCAAGACATCGCCCTATAATCCTGTAGGGACGGGTAATCTAATCACCCTGCACAGACGCGCACGTATGTAGCCATTATTTCACCCTCGGTCGACGGACCACGGAGAGAGCCACAATTTTAATTTAACTCCACTGTTCAGAGGTTAACGAACGATTCGCGCAAAAAGGAATCTCGAATAAAATTGCAGTTATTTTTTCCAAGGTAATGAACAGTTGGTGGATCGATCGGTAATGAGTTATTTATTCGGTAATTCGGTGTACAGGAACGGCGAGGATTAACCGAGTCACGGACAAAAAGACTGAGCTCTTGGTGAAATTAAGTTACCACCGGCTCGTTATTCTCGTGAGACTCGAAATAAAGTGGCGACGACATCCGAAAGGATTGAGTTACCCGTCCACTTAATTGACCGCCCGCAGAAACGAAGAGGAGGACACTGATTGACAGGGAGATGCAGCTGTCATCACGGCCAGCCCCGAAGGAGTGGGGGTGATACCGTGTACGGTTTAATTGGTCTTTAGCCGCGGAATCCCGATTCGTAAGCCGAGAAGAAATTAGGATGAGAACGCAGCTGACGCGTTTCGGACGCGTGAATTTCTTTCGGGACATCGTAATTAGATCCTGCCCGAAAACGTAAACAGGTAATTACGCGTGCCATGGCCCGTCGCTGATGTTACAACACCGACACGTCAATTCGAATTTCTACCCCCCTTCCGGCGGATCCGACCGCAGCAAATCGAATGAGAAAGTTCAGAAAGCAATGGTGTCTCTTGAAAGTTGGAAGAACACACCTCGAGTCGTTTCTTCTCTTCCAAGTAATTTACAAAATGGACGAGATAAAATACAGATTACAAGCTATACCGAATGTTGAATATTTCTTTAATCTCAAATAGCAATTCCGTAAAGGCGAAATGTTAACGGACATAGATATACAAGCAATCGAAAGAAAATGAAACAGATACGGAAGATCACTTTTGCGTAGATGAATCCAAAAGAAGTACAAATCATAGACCTGTTTTTATCGATACGTCGATTAATCATCGCGTATACAAGTAGTCGAAAGGAAGCGAAACAGAAAAGATACGTGCTATTTTACAAAATCAAATCGCCTAAGAATTTCTATGTTTGAAAATCCATTTGATATACAATAACCTAATAATAAACTTGATCGAACGCATTCATAGAACCGCGTTCGTTAAGTTTATCTAGATTATTTATCTGTGTTCAAATGTGTTGCCAAACTGATCTTCCTAGCCGATTAAGCCATTCAGGATATCCATAAATTCATCGTCTCACCCCCGGTTGAAAAGCGACAACACGACATGTCGATAACCCTCCCTGATGGCCGGCCAATTTCGAGCGATCAGGAAATCCAGTTTCAGCATCAAAGATGCAACGTGACACCGTCGATCCACGTATGTAGGCACGGCGCAGCAATAAGTCGGACGATTCAGTAACGCAGCGACGCTTAACAACGTCACTGTCGTCGACCGTGTCGAATTTCTCGGATTACATAAACCCAAATAATCCCGTGAGTCATTCTAAATCTGGTTCCATCGGGGTTGCACCGCTTTACGTCTTCGCCCTCTGCCTGTTCTCTTCTTCCTCCCTCTCGTTCGCTCCCGTTTACTCTTTTACCTCTTTTCAGACATGTCCTAAGCGTCACCTCCTACTTGTCTGACTGTCTGCCACGTAAATAGCCACGGCACGTGTGTCGTCTCGGACGCACAAGTTGGCCCACTTTTCTTCTCGAAATTAGAGAACTTTAGCAACGATGTGTTTTTCTCATTTTCCCCTCCTTTATACTACCCTTTCAAATTTTCTTTCATTCCTTTAACCCTTAAATAGACGAATGACAAAATTGTATAATTGAGTACATGGATGAAGAATAAACTTTGTGTCATAGAAAAATGCTGCATTGCCGTTCAATGCAACTGCATTTCCAGCGCGACACCAAGTTCCCACGTATCGCCATGTAATAATAGAACCAGACAGATCTCATCTGATAGATCACATCCGCGACACCGGTCGATTTCGATCCTCCTTTTATCGGAGTCGTTGCTTCGTCACCGACTCTTCTTCTATCGTCCTAGATCTACTGTTCACGGTCCATTTTTACAGGACCATGACGCCTAACAACGTGTGACCGACACTTGCACGCGATTTAATGAAAATTGTCATACTTCTGTCACGAAACTTTCGGAGCCACGAATAGGAGCGTATTTTTTCTGATAAAAGCGTTGATCGAATTGTGAGAAATAATTGAAGCAAACTCTAGTGAGCATAGAACATTATTTTAAAGGCTAGAAGAATTTAATTGTTAAAACAATTAACGCGTTGATGGCTAATAACCAGTATCTTAAATTTAAAATAGTTCTGAGTAATTAAAAAATTGAAAACTAAAAGAAAATTTTTAATAGAAAACAGACAAAATTTCAGAACAACACGAACGTTGCGAAATATTAAAATAATATTTTCTCTCACTGGAATCACGCTTGTTTACCGGAAATAAAACCTGGCTCTTTTATCAGATTCGTCTATTGTATAAAACACCTAGCACGAACGAACGTTCATTCAAATCACCAATGAATATCGTGCAGCCATGGTGAAACTACGCGTACTCGTTGTTCTAGCGTTATTCGTGATTTTCAACGTGAATTTAGTGGAACCTATGGTGCACGAGAGTTTGTCCAAACTTTTTGGCTCCCTATCTGGCGTCATACAGTATTCTTTTTTAATTTATACACACTTCGAGCATTTAAATGAATAAATTTAATTCGATTGTGATATTGGTGTTTCAGTGTAAGGATTCCTGAATTGCTGAATCAATTGTGCAACGAATCGCAAAGATCGAACACCGTTCTACGTGATGCATGCTATGGGTGTTTCTACAGAACTACCAATCAACCAGTTGGCTATCGATTGTTATTATCAATGTCCAATTGTGCAAATATTTATCTGAACAGCACCGACTACGCTCATTGTCAAGAGTATCTAAACGTAAGAACATTTCTATACGCTACATTTTTACTTTTGTTGATCGTAAATTTATTGTATATTTACATTAGAATGCAACTAGCACGGCAAACGCGAGAGCAAATCCTACCACGATATACTGTACATTTTTGGAATGCGTTCGCCAGGTGAACAAGGACAATTTGGTAAGTAAATAATATTTTCAAATTATCTGCTGTTCTTGTATAAATTTTATATTCTGTACTAAAGTAAATCTAACTTAAACTTAACTAACCGAAGTAAGTTACTAACTTTGTAAAAAGAAAGAGCAACTGTAAATATCGAACAGGAAGCATTACGAGTTAAACCGAGAGCCAAGGAAGATTCGAGGAAGACTAACAGAAAAGTATCATTTCTATATTTCAAATTGTACAAGCAAATAGCTCGAAGTATTTGCGTGATACGAGAACGGGATTCAGAATCGAACACCGTCAGACCAGGAGCGGAACCGGTCGATCCAAGGGAAGCGATAAACAAACCATAAACAACTACATAATATTATAACGTGTACATAGAATGTATAAAAATGTACATAATGTTTGTGCTTCGAGATAACTGAAATATAATATTTTGTAAGTACCTACATTGTACGTATCCGGCATAATGAAAGTGTACAGTACGTCAATAATTAAATTTCCTTATAAAATAAAATGAATCATTGGCTAAGAAAAATTTGTCTCGCAGCTCAGGGAATGCGTCGGCGAGGCCCTAAGAATGTTTCCCAATTTTAATACGACGGACGTGAAATTGGCCCAATTATACGTGAACACGACCGCGTGTGTGCTCGCGAAAACGCGTTGCGCCCACACGAATCCAATCACCGGTGAATATCAAAAAGACGACCTCGCCAATAAGCTGCACATACCCGCAATCAATGCGATGCTGGTCAACACGGACTACGATATCAACATCCTTCAACTACCGTTTCATTACGGTTCCATCGACGTTTGCGCCAAGTACAGAAACTACGAACAAGCCAGCTGGCCGAGCGCGATGTGTTGATTGAACATTCCCAACCCTGGACGAAACTTGCAGGACCACCGTGAAATTTCTATCATCGAACGGTCTGGTTCGTGACGTGTTTCGTCTAACAATACTAGTATCTCATCAACGACTCAACTTTCGATATTAAATTTAAATTTAGAACGGTATCATGAAACATATACTAGATACAATACGTCAATTCTCTATGTTGAATAATATAATACATCAAATAGCTAACTTTGTCATAGACGATTACTGAAATAAAGTCACAAAGTATAGGGTTGACATAAGACGTAAAGGTGAGGCGACTATTTTTAACGAACAAAAGTAGTGTAAAATAAGGCGTTTAAGAATAATCGGTATACTTAGAATTCCGTTTGTCGAAGTAAATGGAGCCAAGGAATGGCTGTAATGGGAAAGTTTGTAAAAGTTTTCTCGCTAAGAGCCTCGCTGTCTGACCTGGTCAAGTCTACAATTACAAGTACTTTCTTCAAGTTATTACTCGCTACCCTCCGCTACGTGTTTAACTAGTAATCCAACTATAGAAGTATTTAAGCAATCAGTTTTTAGGCTTACTGTCCAAACGACTCTTAAGTTTTCCCAACTTGTCCGACGGTATTATAAAAACATCAAGAAGCTCTTAATTGTGATGGAAAGCTTGCTAACTTTGTTTTTACTCATCAATAAATTGAATCAAACGTTAGAAAAAACAATGTTGTACGTATACTTAGTCTCCGTGAATAACTTGTAAATTTTTATAACCTATTTATCAAAATAACCCTTTGAACGTCGTTTAAGTCTAATTCGAGCCTCCATCGAGCTGAAGGCACCGCAACAAACGCAGAACAGCCCAATAAAGTTTCCGTCTTACGAGTTAAGTTAATAACAGTTACAGGGATCCGCGATGACATGGAAAGATAGTATGTAATAGTGACTAAGAGTGACACGAGTCATCTAAGTGCAAATCGTGCTGTAACGCAGGCTCGTGAATCATCGTTTAACCCGGTTGTCTAAGAGAAATGAATAAATTTCATCGCGTATCTTCTTCTTTTGAATCAAAGAAAAAAATCGTCGCCTAAACTCGTTGCACAAACATTCAGCAACAACTTTCGGGCCGAACGAGTGTGCAAATTCGCAAATACCCAGTGTCGTCCTCGTCGGATGATTTTTCTTTACCTTTTGAACGGCGGGAAACGAAGCGAACCAGACGAGAGTCGCTAGATTTTCCCGTAATTTGAAGCATCGCTCGGGTGTGTAAACATAGAAGCCACTTTTCAAGTTTGTCCGGTAATATTCGGAGAGATAAAACGCGACGGGATCATCGTAGAACAAGGAACGTCGGTAAAAAGTAAGGACCATCGTCGAGAGAGTTAGCTTATGGAGCAACGGGTGCTTGAAAATCGTGGCTGATATAATCCCGAGAGGGTGGTGATAGCAGCACGGAAGAATGTACGAATAGCGATATAACTGGGTAAACATATCGTGGCCGCTTCATCAGCGTCGAGTACCGGATGCGAACTCTAAAGGAACGTTTACGATATTACTCATCCCGTAAAGTGATCGTAACGAAGCGGCCAATAAACAAGCTTACGGCAAATTATACGGTAAAAGGACGAGAAATGGACGATACGGAATGAGACAACCCTCCCCTTTTCACGAGCTGCGGTTACTAACCCCCCCGCCCCCGATAAAATTGTTAGAAATTTTTGAATGCGCTCTTTTAGGGTATAAACTATTTTAGGGTGGAACTACTTTTATCGACTCCGCGCGTATAGAGAGTGCGATATCCTCTCCGCGTTTCGTAACTCCTCGCAAACTCTTTTTCATCCCCCTTTTTCGTCTCAATATCTCGCTAAATATCTTGGACGTACGATCGAATGAAACTCCATGCTGTCCAAACATCGTCTAACTTAACTGCGACATTCGGTCAGGGTGATATTTACGTTTCCTGGACGCTTCGACGGCGGTACTAGCTGGCAAATATCCGGATATTCGAGGGTAATCGGATATTAAAGAATCCGGGCTAGGTATCCGACGTCGCGGCTCAAAGGCAATGGATTTAAAAAGAACTCGAACCACCGACTTCCTATCGTTCTGTGTTTGCCAAGGTGAAACTCTCTGGGTTAATTCTTCCGAGAGAAACGGACAAAGGAGGTAGAGGCAGATGGAAGAATCGGAAGATCGATTCCGCGACATCGGTGTGCACTCGTGTACTTACTTAGAGAACGAAGAAAAGGATAGGTACGTATACGTTAGTATACATATAAAATGAAGAAAGAAGAAAAATGGAAGGATCGACCAAGATGAAAAGGAAGATCGCTCCATTGCACAGAGAAGAGACGCTCCACTTAGCATCTTCCTCGAAATAATTTGAAATATGCAAATACCATCGGTGAGCACGCGCTCGCGTGTCGACGAGTGTGCGTGCCAGGCGTGTATCACGGCCGGAAGTGAGGACCAAGATATGAAGGAGAAGACAACGTGTATTCCACTGGCTTACGGTTCACTTCTCTCCGAGCCAATCTAACTTAACATGCAGATGCAGTACGTGGAATCGTAGAAGCGGCAGAGTTAAAGGTTGATTCACACACGATCCTTTTGTATCCGTATACGTATTATATTCGTACCGTTAATTCCTCAGGGTACGAACATCGATCGATAAAGCATGCTCGTGTATGAATTCACCCTTAAAAGAAGGAAAACTCTGACATCTTTGAGATTCAAAGGGTTCATTACGACCAGACGTGATTTCGTGTGGCCCATCAAATTAACAATTTTAATCGATCATACCGTAATGATGGGAGAAACTAAAACGTATCTTGTTACAAGGAGGAAAACAAAGATCCCCTGTTGAGTTTGAAGAAAATGCGATATCGGCCGATATTTCGCGAAAATTCCTGAGCAACCGACAATCGATCCCGACACGAGGCAAACTCACGGAAGCGCATCCTTGATTAAATTTACAAGACCGTGAGCTTGTATAGCCATAAGTAATATAATCTGATCTTGTAAAGAGGTCAGGGGCTGATACGTGCTACCTTGATAAAGCGTGTATCAAAGAAAAACGGTTTCTTCGATCTCGTGTAAGCTCGAATGTAAAGTAAACGTTGATCTTCGAAATTTCCGAATCAAGGAAATTTATTAATTCTTATAACTCGATCAAATTATTTGAAATATCCTTACGTTCGGATAGAATTTATGTGTATCTTTTTACGAGAAGGATACCTTGCAACGAATATTTCATAAGTTCCCGTACGATCCCTGTTGCAATCTTTTCAGTATGCTCTAACTAAATTTCGTTAGGTATACTCTCTATACGCGCGGACAAGGAATCGTGCACTGTCAGACTTTCCTTTACGAGCTTCAATTCGACCGGATTATGAATTTATAGCAAATCATAAAGTTTCTCGCTAAAATTTTCGACCAGCTGGTTTTCTAATTTTGCGCAGCAAAAAAGACGATGAATCGAAAGGTGGTGAATCTCAACGATTTCAACCGATAATAAATCAATTTTACTACTAGTTAAAATTTTCTTTCTCAAATATATTGCCTAGCTTTAAGTACTCAAAAGGCCCCCTAGTTTCCCTAATTTCAAAAAAAGCATATTTCTCCTTAAACTAGAGGAAAAAGCATAGCTCTTTAAACGACCAACATGTGCGGTAAACAAACTGGATCGGTTCGGAGAAACGTGTGGCGCATCGTTTGCACGTGAATCATACGGGGCACGATCGGCGTATTGCGCAAGGAGCTTCATCACGAGCTGCGTAGGCGTTGCATAAAGCCTGCTGTGAAAAACAAAAACAAGGAGAAGAGTCAGCACGTGGACACGTCATCGAGGCGCGGCATAGGTGAAACGAGGACACAACGCGTGCATACGAGACCCCACCGACTCCATCTGGCCCGATTCCTACGACCCTTCTAAGGCGTCCTTAACGAAAACGAACCATCTTAACTGGACAAAGTTTTACGAAAAATCATTATCTTCCTGTGTTCTATTTGAAATAAATCTAAGAACGTTTGGAATTTCCTTTCAGATCGGGACGAAGAAGACTTAGGGGTGAAACGTGCTCGATATGCTAATATCCTTGATGAATATGCAACGCAGCCTGTTATGAATTGGGGATATTTTCGATTTCTCATCGAACCCACGAGTGGAATTTTGATGCGTGCAATTATTAAAGTGCACGTAAATATCATTAGAAAATTATTTCAGAATCGCAATCTATAGAAAGTTTCTTCATTGTCGTAGGTCAGTTAATCGTGCGTGCGTTAAAAACGTACCGTTCGTTACGTAAACGTGTTGAAATCAATTATTAACACGAAAAGGAGAAACGGTGCAGCGTGTAGCATGCATAAGTCGATGGAAATGCTGGTCTCCTCGGTTCAACCTCTTTAGTCATGCCCCATGTGTTGCATGTAATACTGTTATACATCAGCATGGTGTCTAAAGAACAGTTGTACACTGCCGCATGACACGTCGTTTAACAAAAACTATCCTGTGGCGAGCGTTTCACATTAAAGTGGCACGCAACATTTTCGAAATTCCACGCCTTTCGACGCGCACGATCGCCGATGCAACCCGTTCGAGACGCATCTTCGTTAAATTTCCCTCGAATCCCTTCGATAAATTACAACATCACTGTTGCACAAACGAATTCGAACGTTCGTTTTAGGCGACATTTTCTGATGGATCCGCGAAATGAATCGTGAGAAATGTTTGAGACGAGTACATTTTAGAAATTACTGGAAATACTGGCGACACGCAGACGCAAACAGTACGCTTATTATGACGTTTGGGAAACATGCAACGTGACTACAAGGTACTACACAATGCGATATCCGGAAAAAAACGACATAACGACACGGCACGCTGTATACAACAGCATTTCCACGCGATGTTTTTACTGTATTTTATTTAAACCGTGTCGAAGTTTTGCCACGACCGCGTGTTTAGTATTTATTTTTCACTCTCTCTCCCTAACGTTCGTTTCGTTCGTCCACGTTCCATTTCCCGTTTTGTTTAATCCACCATTTAATTAATACGCTCGGTTCATCCCTCGATTGATCGCGCTTATCGTACCGGAAGCAATCAATTTCTTGCGAACGCACTCTGCTCGCTTTGCGCTCGATAATTACGATCGGATCGTCGGCCGTGGGATACCTGTGCTGAATATTCGAAAAAAAAAAAACATAAAAACGTGCATACATTTTTAATTGATAAGTTGTAATCTAATTTAGTCTAGGATAAGTTAGAACATCGTGCAACTTCCTCCGCTAGGTTCT